TAATGTGTTAACACAAAATGTGGGCAGACAATCTAGTTTCAATGAAAGGTTAAAACCTTTTAAGTCCAACACGCTCCCCATTGACAAACAAAATCACCATGCAGGGGTTGATTGTTCGAAAGCCGATAAGTTAACCTTAGATTAAGCAAACTTCCTAACAGTTTGTTTATAAATTTGGAAATATTTCTTTAGACATCTTGTCTGGATCAGTACCATTGATAGGAGTTTTCTTTTCATAATTTTAAAACAAAAAGATACTGTATGTAGAAATACATAAATTTTAACTACGGGTTAGGGTTAATCCAGCTATGCAGGCCTTAAAATATCGGTCGGTCATGGACATTGTCCGACCAAAGTGAAATTGAGGTTTATTGTTTGTCCGACCTGAGTGTATTGGTGTCCGACAGAACTGTAGCTTTGTCCAACGTAAATCAAAATGTACCCTATCCCAGGACTAGAGGCTCGTATGTTAAATGGAAAATCAGAGTACTATAGACCTTATTCATAAATCGTGATGAGGCCTCTATCCTAGGAAACGGGGAAAACGTGGGGAAGCTCTGCAGCTTAATGGGTTAAATTAGGGTATGTAAGTGCTAATGGTAACTGAGACATGCACACACAGTCTGTTAATCCATCACAACATCACATCTTAATGGGTTCATGGAATACCGTAAATCTCGGACTATAAACCCTGGGCTATATATTTGGTGGGCTTATACAAAGGGGGGGGGGTTACAGTATATAGGAGGGATAGAGCTTATACATGGACATTCAATCTTTTGTGTTAGTATAATAAACAAGTCAGTCATAAACAGGAAAATAAACACATAGTAATAATGCACTTTGATTAATTAACAACGTTTTGTTGTTGACTTAAGCTATAAAGACAATGTTTTTAAATATTGTTCTCTGATATATTAACCCATTGAGCCACAACACGCCCCAGTGCGCTCTACTTTTTTTTCACTTGTCTAACGCCAAACGATTTTGCTCGTCAATGGGGAAACTCTGCAGCTTAATGGGTTGACCAAAAAATTTGACAATGTCTCTGGTAAACCCATCAAGCCGCAATGCGCCCCAGTGTGCCTTACCGATTTTTTTACTTGTCTTATGCCAGACAATTTTACTTGTTAATGGGGAAGCTCCACAGCTTAATGGGTTAATTAAAAGACAATGTCAATGTTGAATAACATAGTGAGCTACTGGGCTTATATTCGGGCGTGGGGGGGTGGGGGTGGAGGGGCTGAGTTGTATAGGTTTTCATTGACTGGTGCATAACACCTCTAACAGTGAAATAGATTTTTTCATTGATTGAAGAATTTGGACATAAAAAACCTAGATATATAAAAATTAGAAACTTATGAAAGTAGCAGTTGATTTGAAACAAGTGGTTACATTTTCTCAAACCATGTTTAGCTTGGACATGTGTAGTTGAGCATATGATGATTGAGTAGATGCCAAGCTATATTTATACTTTATACCAGAAACATTGTTATCTGGTAGTCTGTCATATATTCATATACACAAATATTAGTTGCCCTTTATACAATAAACATAATTTAATATAAAGTCAAATGTAAGCCTTCTATAAAACTAATATATCATCTTTTTAATTCAAATATTATCGCGGCAAATTCAAATTTTAAACATGAACACATGCTCAAAATTCATGAATGAAGATAGCGAATATTTACTTTCAAAACTGCTCCATTATACATATAACATAACAATATGCTTACCTGAATGTTATTCAGTCATGCCCGCTGTTTCCTCTTCGTTCAAATCATTCGTCGTCGCTTAAAAAAAGCGAATTTTTCGAACCATAAATTCAGAATGAAGGCTTGAAAAATATGGCGTAATGGCGGTGTGAATAAATGACGCTATCCCGGGAAGCTTTGCGCGCGTAGTACGAAAACTAGGCACCAGTCTGTAAAATCGCGCTCATCGTGAGAATTTTCGTTTCTTTCGATCCGAAGAGCTTCAAAAGGCCAGTTACCGGCTATTTTTCAGATATTAATGGTGTGCTAAAGACAGATTAATCTCTTAGAAAATAAATAGTTCCAGTAATGCTCTTACTACATGCGAAAGAATAAAATACTACACAACAAATATCAAACGGTTATTAGACACGTAAAACTTGATATCGCCGGCAAAGTCGATATCGCCATTTACATCTACTGTATATATCCGAAAAACATATTATAGCATACATTACCGTGATTGATGATTGGATTTATTGTATGTTACTAAAAAGCATTTTTCAGTACACACCGTGCACGCGTGTTTTCCAAAATCGGCGTAGGGTGTGTTATCTAACACACCAAGATGTGTTTTTGCAAATTAGTATGAGGTGTGTTCTCGAACACACCAAGGTGTGTTTTCATTCAAAAGGTGTGTTATTGAACACACCTTATATGCATCAAAGGTGTGTACGAAAAGGTGTGTAAAATACAGGTGTGTTTCTTAGCACACCTAGGTGTGTTTTGTTACACACCATGTGTGTTTTCTAACACATCATGGTGTGTTTTCTAACACACAAAGGTGTGTTTTCTAAAATTGTATAGGAAGGTGTGTAAAATGTACACACCTTGGTGTGTAATTAAACACACCTTGGTGTGTAATTAAACACACCTTGGTGTGTAATTGAACACACCTGTTTTTAGAGTGAAGATGGTGGTATATCATCTGTACGCAAGTCGTCAATGACCTTATTCATACTATTTACAGCACAGTAACCCAAGCATCTATCATTACAGACACCAATTCGTAAATTGTAATATTTATAAGTATATAACTTAATTCATATGTATTAATTAATATAGTAGGAGTGCTTTGAAAATTTTCAAGGTCACGGAACATTTTACAGTTAATTCTTGTGAAACTTATTTGCGCAATACCCCTTAGAGTTAATAAAACACTATATATACAGTACTTTCTCGAAATGTTATCAGGATAGTTACTCGTTCATTTTGAAGAAATATGAACCCCACTAGTCGTTAAATTTAATATATAGCACAGTAGCTTTTGAAATAAAAACGTTCGTGAACAAAACTATAATATCGTACGTAAACGCAATTTTATATTGTTATGAATTGTTTTTAATTTACAGGTATTACTGTCGAGTCAGAAGAACATTACAAAAACACCGCTTTACAATTTTCTTCACCCGTGGCTTGGAACAGGTATGACTAACTATTTATAAACACAGCCGCGCGCGGTATTCAAGAATGCTTTTAGAGTTCGTACAATTTGGCATTTTTCCTACAAACACGATCAGCGAGTTAAAGTGCAATAAAAGTAATGCATTCATGTTTAGTATTTTTGCACAAGCAAATATAACAATTCCTACAAGTTGATTGGTCAAATTTGACGTATTAAGCTGTTATATTCACCTACAGGTAAATATAACAAAACCGAAATTTGCAAAATGGCGGCTAGCCGTTTTGTGGAAGTTACTGATAAAGAAATAAGCGAAATTAAAATAAATTCAGTCCCAAAAAAACACAAAAGACTTTAAATGTGTAAAAATACTAAAACAATTATTCGCTTCAGGCTCGGTGATTATCTGGAAATATTCACCTCGACTTTTTCTCGGTGAATATTCCAACGGTATATTGCAACGGTATTGATGCACAATGGATGGCTTTTGTATTAAGACATATAAGACCGAAGCGAAATAGTATTTGTGCCACATCACATGCACATAAATATATCGTGTAAAGTTTGAGTAATATGTACTCGTGAACGACATTTAGTGTAATAATTACCATTTGTTTAGATTGCAGTAAGCCAGTTATGATTCCCAGTGAAATTTACTGTCCGCACCATGCAATAATAAACAATGGAAATGATTCGCAAGTTTGAATGGTTTAATGCAGTCCTTATGCCGAAAAATAATATGACCAAAATTTTGGAAATTGCATAAAATTGATGCGAAAAATCATTATTAGGGAGATAGACAACCTTGAACCTTTTTTCGTAATTTTTTATACATGCTATTTAGATAAGTAATTTTATAAAAGCATGTCTTTTTGTTTTATTTTTCGTTTTAATTTTATAATTAAATAACCATGAAAATAATTTGCTAAATAATGTTTTCATAATTATGATGCTTGGAGAGGCCCCATCGAATGCTTAATTGACAACTTGCATGTTAGACTAAATTTTAATCTAAGTAAAGAGAAGGGAATCAAACGCCACAGCTAAAATATAGTCTTGTAAAGTTTGCAAATTTTGTATATGTTTGTATTACGTGCGGAAATTGAATTTCCGCACGTAATACAAACATATACAAAATATGCACACTTCGCAAGGCTATATTTTCCGTATTTTACAACATTTCGTAACCAAATTTTACTAATTTTAGTAAGATCTTTACGGGAATTTACTTTTTTCGCCTAGATCTAAAATTAGTGTAACATGCAAGTTGTCTATTGTTTATTTAGTTCATTTTTTCTTTGAATTTCAGGTCTGTTAACAAGGTTAGTTGTATCTGTTTATTGCATTAACTTCAGTTGTGTAACATTCTAAACAGTTATTGGATGAGGTTTTTGTGATATCTAGAGTTCAAGGTCGAGGTAAGTGTTATCGACAAACAATGATTTGTCGCACAAAACAGCGTTTGGTTCTCAAAAAAGCAGTGAAAACGATGTAAAATATCACAATAACAACATAAAATATTAGAAATCTCACCACAGGGAGCGCATCCCCGGTTTTATCGAAGTTATGTATTAGAATTACGTATGAAATATATAGCTCAGTGTTGAAGCCTGCGACTTGCGGGCTGTGTGCGGGCTAACGCGCGCGTTGAATACACAATAAAGAAAATAATAAAGGGATGAAACAGACGAGTGCCTGGAAGCATGTGTTCCATAGGTTGCTATGACATTGACAAATTATCGACTTACGTTTCTATAAATTTCAACAAAAGAACTTCTTTCAGAAATTAATACCTTTCTGATTACAAACTTGTCATCAGCAACTAATTTGCAAAATCCAAAAAATATTCATATATTTTTTGAAATTTTTACGGCCAGCCGAGCGCTCGGCCGATCACTGATTTTAAAATTTTATTTTTATTATATGTGTTTAAAATTTTATATGTGTTTTATATTCGAATATGCCAATAGCTACAATACTATTTAATATTTTTCATATGATTTTAGAGATCTGTGGAGTGTGTAGTAGGAAATAAGTAAGCATTTCAGCATGTCATAGCAACCTGTGGAACACATCCCGTCACATCCAACCGTTCACTGCTGTGCGATCAAATTGGAAGGTTTTGGCTAGACGACATGAAAGAACAGGCCCTAGTGGACCTTACAACATAATAAAACTCTGACCTTTTTATTTGAACACACTATATTGTGTTTTGAATTCTGGGCTTCCAAGCACTCGTCGATGTTTCATCCCTTTATTATTGTCTTTATTGTGTACTCAACGCGCGCGTTAGCCCGCACACAGCCCGCAAGTCGCAGGTTTCAACACTAAGCTATATATTTCATTACGTAATTCTAATACATAACTTCGATAAGACCCGGGATGGGCTCCCTGTGGTCTCACCAGGGTACTAAACTTCCGATAAAGATGTCAAAAAGGTCTGCTTTTTGAAAAAATCACAAAAATATCGTTCGTTCATGTTGGGTAGTTTTCTTGTTTTTATTTCGTATTCAACCTACACATAAATCTGGAACAATAGATTATATTGTACAACGAGATGGCATTTCAGTCAATAATCTATGTGGTCCCCGACGTTTTTTTCTCATGTATATTACTTAGATAGGTCTAGGATATCTTTAATAATGGAACATCATTGCTTTGCATGCATACATGCATAAGAACGGCAGTTATCGGTATTTGTAAAATATCGTAACAATAGCCTGTATTCATGCAGTTTTTGTTTTATATGTGCCTGGTGTTTTGTTTTTATCAACAAGTATAAGAATTGACGCTCTTCTTATATGACGCTCTTATTATACATCGGATATGAGTGTCATCATAAACATATATTCTGTTTTCTATACTTTAGCACCGGTAACAAATGGAAATCTCGCCGAAAGCTTCTTACACCAGCATTTCATTTTAAAATTTTAAACGAGTTCGTTTCTATTCACCAAAAACAATCTGCTATCTTAATTCAATTACTTCAGGTAAGGTTATCGTCATATTTATGTAAAAAGCAAACAATATAGCTACAGTAATTACATGCAGTGACATGGTAAAATGTATACTTCAGAATTCCCCATTCCTCCATGGCTGTAGAGTAATTTCTTTGCATTTATATAAGTGACGAACTAGAATACATATAGTTATAGGTGCAAATTTTTGAGATGACAAAGCGTACATGCAGACTGAGGGCTACATGACAAAGGAAATTCTCAATCTTGAATGTTTTTGTCTTCCGGACAATTTGTACAAGCATATAGACAGCATTGAAACTGGGTACAGTATGCATGGTTGATTTGCATATTGATTTTGCCATTTCTTGTATCTATCATGCATCTATCATGCATGCATGCATGGAGTGCATGTTTCCAATTTATATATAACTACACATTTCGTCGAATAATAATATTTATATATAATATAATATTTATATATTTATATTTATATATATATATTTTTTTTTATTTATTTATTTATTTTTTTTTTTTTTTTGTGTCGAAATTTTGTTTACTGAGACACTTCGTTTCTTAAATCAGAATGAGTTTACTGAGTTTGCAAATGCTCCAGACCAATAATTCGAACTAATATTTTTATGATGTAATATGTTTTAGGCTAAAGCTGACAAGGGTGAATTTGATATAGTTCCATACATCACGCTTTGTGTCTTGGATATTATATGTGGTATGGTATTTCTATAGCTTTTATAGTATCACAGTAAACAATGGAGGTTATAAGGTTCTCGTTTAATTTAGAGAATTAAGTCACATACAAATTTTAATATGAGATCTTACCCAATCAATTTCTTTTATATATTTTCTTCACATGATAATGATAAGTAAAACAACTAAAATGTATAACTGGATATATTTCTGTTAAATTCTAGCGTATTCTATTTATGAGTTGCTAGGTTCTGAAATATGTTTTTCCTATATATTGTCACCCTTCAGACTATAGAAACGTACACGCTTGGACGTTTGGGACCATGCGCGTGGAAGCTTGACCATCCGTCCCATCATTAGCTACGTATACATACTAAATTGGGATATTTAACTTTTTATCACTTTAATGCTTTTTAGAGACATCCATGGGTTTTGATATCAAAGCTCAATTTGGCAGTAATTCAGAGTATATTAAAGCCGTGTTCAGGTATTTTACTGTATTCCAGAACCATCCTCAGTGATATGAAAACCTAATTTCATAGAATAGTACAACAGCTGTATATTACAGTTATAATATTGTACGCCCATCTAATTATATTGAGTCCAAATTATACGCATCGTCCATTTTAGGCAACTTCGTACCCAGGGCTAGCCGCGAGTTGAAGGCAGCGACACAGCCCTGGTAAACGCTGGTCACGTGACTCCAACATTACGTAATTGTTACTTTTCTGAACCGGGGGGTGAATGCTACAGGTGAAACTCGAAGACCAACAGTTTTTATCTCCGAAATTCTTCAATCTTCCCTGTGAATTTTGCATTTCAAGCTTTTCTCAAAGTACGGCGATCGATCAAATGGATCAATACTTTCTGTAGAGAAAACTCAGTGAGATTAGTTCGTATGCGACGTTTAAAAGACTTGGATATGTCGCTCAAGACGCTTGATCATTGCACAGGTTTATGGTTTAGTACTCAGTTCAGTTTGTTGCGACTTGCGAAGCAAATTATGAATGCAAATTTAACTCTTGTATAATGACTAAAAGTTGGTTAGTAGAGGGACAACTGATACAAAAGATATGAATACCTCAGCTTATGAATACTTCAGTAATATATGTATATGTACATGTACATGTTCAACCCTTTAAGTGACAATGCACCCAGAGTGCCCTACTTTGTTTGTTTACTCTGTCTAACGCCAGACAATTTTACTCGTCAGGTGGAGAGTGCATGCCGCCTCCACTCAATGGGTTAACATAGTCGATGAACATGCCAAATTGTCCTTGACCGTGGTAGTGCATTTTTGCACTTACCGCATGATATCGCAACCAAGGATTGTTTCAGAGGAAGAGCCCTGAGATCATCCTGTGTAGCAATTGGAATCTCAAATAAAGCAGAAGCACCTTCACTCAGAAGCCAGGATTAATATTAATTCCCCACTTAAACACTTGGAAACTGGACTGTCCCATCTGCCATATGCAGGATAAAAAACATGTTAAACAACCAAATCAGCATGATAAACAGTGTCATGAATTTTGCTTAGCCCAAACCAAAGCCAGTTTTCTAGAATTAATTCGCAGAATCCTAAGAACTGGACCTCCAACTTGAAGAGCTAGCTGTGCTAACCAAGTCAACAATAACCGTGCATGGGCAACCCTGAATTGAAGTGACTAGAGCAAATCTTCAAAGGATAATAGAGAGATCAGATTTGACTTCCACTACTGCTATTGCTATCATTAACTAACCAGATAAGTTTCATCTACCCAATCAAACAATCGAATGCAACTGCCAGATCAAGTAGTGGTAGTGGAAGTCAAATTTGAACCTTTCTATCTGGATTTCAGAGAGACCAGTCATTATTTGCTGATACATTATCATAACTGATCATTAATATATTTTAATTATCATTTAATATTTTAAAGATGGCGAACAACTGACGAGATTTTATACGAAATATATTTTGTGAGCCATTTTTTAGTAAATATTTTAATTATAAATAGAATGTTTTAATACATATCGTTTGTGAGTGTCTGTTATAAATATAATTACGTTGAAAGAGTAAAGACAAGAAAGAAATGTCGATTATTGAGAAAGTTTGTTCGAACTCTTTCCTGGCTTCGATAAATGAACTTTCAAGACGATTATCATAACATATATAATCAAAAGCCACTGTATTCATTTATGATATTAAAAATTGACATAATTATCTATAAAGTGAGACTAAATTTTAAAAAAATATTCATAACATGAAAATGATTCATGCAGGTGATTGAATAAACCATGTAGTGTGCATTCTGAATCTCTACAAATTCCTTGACATTATTTTTCCAGTACAGTGTAAAACTGTATAAATGTGACACAGCTTGCAGGTATCGGGGTTGTTTACCATTTACATGGAAAACCCATCCGGTTTGAAATTGTGCTAATGGTAAGCAAAATTTCGGATAGAAAATCCCATTCGGAATATGCGCTTTCCATCTAGAATGACTGACCGGAAGGCACTGACGTATTGAATAATTCCAATTGTTAAATCGAGAAGAGCCTGGAACTGGTAAAAAATAAAAAAGATGTAAATGGAACAAAATTTCCCGGTTGAAACGTTCCAATCGGTAAGAGAGGACAACCTTTTCAAACAAACCGTTCATTCCGGAAAAGTTCCGGTTGGGCAGTCGAAATATGCTTGTTCCATTTACATTCCGTATGGAATCACCTGAATTTACATCCAAATGGTAAACAACCTTGGTTGCATGTCGACCAGTGTGCTGAAATACCATCCAGTGACCTGGTTTTGTTCAATGTTACTTGCATCTTGCTCAATTTAAGGGGTCAATAGATGAAGAAATCATTTCTTCTTGATCATGCATATGGCCCCCATCTCTGTCAGCTGTTAGAGTAGAAATTTATCGAAGCCTTCAGAAAATAATTATGGCAACAAGGTTACAAGCTACACTGCACAGTTAGACAATTTGTTAAAAGATCTCAAGAGCACAGGAGGTATAAATGTAGGGGCAAGGGAACAAAATAATGAAACTTTGAGATTCGGGGGCAGGTTTTTACGATTGGCTGCTAAACCTTTTCCCTAAAAATTCCCTGACCAGCTTCAGTTGTCATGGATATTAAAAATACTCATTAATTAACTCACTAACATTAAATAATGCTGAATAAGTGCTGAAACTGATGTTTGCCTATTAAAATATCTTAGCGGTTCAAGACTTTGAGGTTCATCAGATTTTAGCCAAGAAGGCGCACCTCGTTTCTATTTCTTGAGACAACTCAAAAGAGCAGCCATTCCAACTAAGGAACTTCTGAAATTTTATACTACCTGTATTCGCCCGGTCTTTGAATATGCATGCCCAGTTTATCACAACTCGCTACCCAAGTACCTATCAGACGACATTGAAAGGCTGCAGAAGAGAGCTCTAAGAATAATCTACCCTTGGATGCCTTACACTGATTCCCTCGAAGAAAGCGGTCTGACTCGCCTCTTCGTACGCAGGCAGCTCTTGACGTGCAAGTTGTTTAATGAGATCACTCGAGATCAATCCCACAAACTCAGATCTTTACTACCATCTGAAAATAACTGTTCATACCAACTGAGACGTAAAAGGCAACTTAACGTTCCAAGGGCCAAAACTGATCGGTGTATGAATTCTTTTATTGTTAGTAATTGTAAATATTTTTAATTATTAGGTTTCTTAAATTTTTATTATTGTAAAGTTTTAACGCAATTCAGCCATTATCAGCTGTAAAGTCTTTTAAAACTGAATAAATCATCTATCTATCTATCGCAATGGTGGCAATGCGGTTGCATGCCTTTAATTATTTGTTACACTGACTAGCTCTGTGAAATATATATTCGAAGGCTATTATATTTTATACAGTATGTTAATATAGTTAGCTGAATTTGTAATTTAAATATTGAGAAACACATGGCCAGACTATGGCCTATAATACTACAAAAAAATAAATAAATAATCCGCGGCAATTCAAGTTCTATTCGTGAACTTTTCGTCGTCCCCCTGTCTTTTATATTTCCATAAAGCCCGCTCGCAGGCTAATATTCCAAGAATCTTGGAGTATTTGCCTGACACATGCCCAGCGTTTACCCGGGCTATGTCGCTGCCTTCAACTCGCGGCTATCCCTGGGTACGAGCTTGCATCTTAGGCGCCATTTATATGGAACGGGGCTGGCCCACATGCCAGCAAGCGAGATGAAATTTGAGTGGGCTTTGTATGAGAGAATTTGATTCCTGGTTGTCCATATAAACGCAAGGAACTGTTAATCAGTGGAGAGAACTTCATGAAATACTGCGGAAAGTGGCGGGGGGAGGGGGGATTAGATTGCCAACATACTGTATCCATGACCACCACCTTTTACAACTGGTTTTCAAATCTTAGTTCTATAAAAAAAACGTACACTGTCTCGACCGGCAGGCAAAATAATGGAATTCCCAAAGATCGAATGAGCGGTTGTAGTCCATATATTACAAGTTTTTTTTTGTTTCTCGCTAGTACGTGCGAACTTATTCAACAACGTCAAAAATCACCATGGCTCTGGCTTGATATAATTTATAACATGACGTCTTCGGGAAGAAGACACCGAATAGCTCTAGATATTCTCCATGGTTTTTCAAACAAGGTACATTTTATCACCCAAAAAGTGGGCTAATAGTTCCAACTGATTTAACGTGTTGATTAAGACTACATTTATGTAATTTTTCATGTTAAACATTGATCAATCAAAATGGCAAGGAATATAGTGCACCAGACCTGTTGCATACAGAACTAATACTAAACTAAATTTTTGACTGTACAATGATTCGTACAAGTTATTGAACCGACAGTTTAACCTAAGCATTGTATTTTATCAAGGTAATCAATGACCGTATTGAACAAAGGAAAGCTAGCAAATTTGCAAATGAGGACACTTCATGTGTTACGGCGATATATTCTTCTAGTAATCGTCGTATTCGGGCATTCTTAGATCTTTTACTTGAGGAATATGACCAAGGAAATATAACGAAAGAAGGAGTCAGGGAGGAAGTCGACACTTTCATGTTTGAGGTACTAACGTTATTTTCCCTACATTTAGGGTCTGTTCATATAACTTCAACTAACCGAGTGGGACTGAGTTCGAGCAAGACCTGCGTGCATTCCCTTTGTTAACGCACATAAAGAGACGAGCCTGGCCGGCTAGGTGAGATCCCACTTTGCGCTAGGTGGAATCTCGGTCAAGTGGGATATATTTTCCATATCAAGGCTTTGGGATGGACATTTTTTGCCGATTTTGACTCATAATATATTAATATTATAGTATTGAACGGCATAGTTGGAAAATACAAACAAAAAATAAACATTTAATGGACCTAAGCAGACACTACTAAAGTCGTAATGCAAGGTGCTGTTCGCTCAATTGCAACAAATATTTCGTAGATGCCATGTTGATATAATGTCGTCCCACCGAGCCGCGATATTTGGTGGGATAAAAACAGTCATTTGAACACAAAAGTAATCCATTCCACTCAGGTGAGCTGGCCGGCGAAACAGGCTGTCAGGCTCATTTGAACAGGCTCTTAGCACCACTCCATATTTATTTATCGTAAAGCAATACACATTTTATGATAAAACTCCCAACAAATCACAATTCTATAATTTTGACATGCAAACTGAGATAGATTTAAAAATTGCAGGGTCACGACACAACTGCCGCGTCACTACAGTGGGTAATCCACCTTCTCGGGCGTCACCCTGATGTCCAATCTCGCCTACAACAAGAGGTGGATGATTTTTTTGGTGAGCATGGCAAAGAAAGTAAAGTATTTTTCTCGCATTAAAGTAATTGTCTGCTAAAATTAAAGTAACTTTACGTGTGCTTACACTAGACGACCACGCATGCTTGCATGATATATCGCCATAACGTCTATACTATGTATAGATTGGACCGATTTACATAAGAGTTCGTGCAAGATTGACTCATAGACCACGTATGAAAATTAGATGGGAAAATAGGAAAAGTTTCTCTTACTTTGACAGGAAGAGTAAAATGAATGCTTAATTAACCCATTGCATAATTTATTCATGATACATAACTTAATTATCTGGTGGAGGTAAATGGAGGTATGTCTTCTCCGAGTGCGATGCAGTTATTTCATAGACTATTGTTTTAACAGAGTCTGTATCGGGAGATGGAAATATACAGCCAGATCAACTCAAGGATTTAAACTTCCTTGAATGCGCGGTGAAGGTACGTTTTATATTATTTTCAAAAACTCATTAATAATTCATGAAGCAATTATCGAATCTTGAGTAAGAAATTAGTCACGTGCATACGTCTTTATACCAGCTAAAGAACACTTTAACAAAAGACCATTGTTATGCAAACTATATAAAGATTTTTATATAAAGATTTTTATATAAAGATTTTTATATAAAGATTTTTATATAAAGATTTGACTTATTATGGATACGTTTTTGAAGTCATTTAAAAAACTCGCGGGTCGTGTTTTATTAGGTCTAAAGCCACTCGCGCTGCGTGCTCGTGGCTTTAAACCTAATAAAACACTCCTGCTCGTTTATTAAACAGTACATAAAGGCTAGAGTTTGGAATATAGAGACATCTTTCCTTTTACAAGTCGAGTTTCTGAGATAACTTTTCTGTACTATAAATAACAACGATTTAAATGATCACAGTGTACTACGGATAAATGGAAATTGATGCTTTCTGTGAACATGCACCTACAACCCATAAAAGTGACAATGCACACCTGTACATATACAGATTGACCAATTCTCCACAGTTGCGTAACAAAGGGGCAACCATGCACCTCTGGAAGGTTTATCATACGACATATAATGATATATGTCGTATGATAAAAATGACATTATGAATGATATAAAGTTTCATTATTGACTGTACATTCGATGCTGACTCTTTCTACTGGTACTGATTTTTTCCAAGGGGTGGTGGGTTTTTTATGTAAATGAATGTGAAAAAGAAAATGGAACTGTATCTCGAGTTTTGTTATTGAATATTCTCTATTTGTAGGAGGCCTTACGATTGTTTCCATCCGTACCACTCCTCGGGCGTGAATTAACTGAAAAATGCAAATTTGGTAAGAATATACCCTCGTTTATACCCTTTGCTGACAGTTAGAAATACGATAGAGGCAATTTAAAACTGTGCAGGGGCTCCATGGAACGTTGAAAGAGGCGTGGAATGTAAACCTTTCCGTTGAATTTCTTGACAGTCGCTCAATCTAAACAAAACAAGACGCCTGTTCAGGCGTTCACACTGGCCTGAAAATGGCAACTTTTGTGGTAGGGTGTAATGTGTAGTAGAGAAGTAGATAGGGATACAGTAGATCTGGACCATATAAATACAACCAATAAATACAATCGTGATCAGCAACTATCAACCATAATATACCAAGACGCCGGCTCAGGCGTACCCTCCGGCTACGGGCAACTCAACCTGACAAGCCAGGCCCACTGTAACTATGATCATCAACTATCAACCGTAAATAATAATGGGCCAATTATAGCGAAGAAATTATATAGTCCTTGATTTTTAATGCCATTATATGGCTAGTTTCAGATGCTAAAAAGTTAATAGACATAGACGATTCTTCTAAAAAATACGCCAATTTGCTTCCATGTATAAGATAAACTGATCCTAACCCAAAGCCTTTCTCTAACCCCAACCAGTAAACACCTAATAAACAATTTGAGAATTAAAAAAGTGGGGGGAAAAGATGGATCGTGTTCCAAAAACAAATTGAACCGTATCACGTTTCACTGACTTCGCCGCACGCAACGCCACCTCGCTGAATACAATAAAAAAATACATTTTATAGTAATATATGATGAGATGGAAAGTAATTTGGCGCAAATTAATGTAATTAGGTGCAAATCTATAATTATGCAAATGAACATCTATAATTATGCAAGTGCGCAACGCTTGTTTACGAGTCTACAACGTATATTTATACTTGTCATTTAAAAAGTCAAACTGTCAAACCTTAAACTTGTCCTTGTTTACTTTCCACTTAATCCACTATATTGTATAAATTCGCTGGGTCCAAATTTTGGGGTTTTCGAGTCGTTACACAAAGAAAAACACATCAATTCAACACGCAAGAGAGTCCAGAGTGCAACACAACATATTTTCCATAGGAAACCGGCACAATTCTTTGAAAATTCAACGAAACTGTGTGAAATATATATTAGTCGCTCAGTGAAAAACCACCATTTTGAAACTGAACTGAAAAGGGCCATTTATACGGGACAAAATAAGACGCGACTTACATAAGACGCGACTTAAATAAGACGCGAGTCTGTCGTATAAAAGGCACAAAATTCTTATGTAAGACGCGTCTTGGATAAGACGCGACTTAAATAAGAACAGGACTTTTAGCTGTTCTTATTTAAGTCGCGTCTTAAATACGCGACTTAAATAAGAAATTTTGGACAAAAATTCTAACTACACATGCCCGAAACTTGAAACAACGTAAAATTATTAACCTTGCATATTAAAACAAAAACAACCGAAACAACATTATAGCTATAGCAAGTAAATAAGAATAAAGCCGTAGAGAACCATTTATGCGATAACTCCACAAATATAAGACGCGTCTTATGTAAGTCGCGACTTATTTTGTCCCGTATAAATGGCCCTAATATGTCACTGGAGCACTCTATCCTTGGAGTTCGGAATTGTGCGCGTGCGTACAAGGATATTTGGCTAATAAACGAAAAATGTGCCACATGCAAGCATGGCATGAGCAGGCTATTACGTACATAAATACGAGCTTGTTACTATAGCATCTAAATCACGGAACCGAGGGGAATCGATGGCATTTTGGCTTAATCGTTGCACCATGAGTCTGCGATGAGCTAACGCAAACTCCATTTCTCGACGACGAAGAAAACAGAAAACAGAAAAAGAGGGATTTAAGACACTTGGCCTACAGACCAGCGTAATTAATAAATGTTTTGAGCCCTTTGTCGGAAGAGTTGGGTGAAATCTCGAGTCAATAGGATACATTTAGCATTTATATGATGGAAGACAGGCGCTCCGATGAATGTTCACGAATTCCTCATCAATAACATAAATTAATATTCAATTTCAGGTCCTTACCTTGTTCCTAAAGGCTGTACTGTTATTGTGCCGCCTATGGCGTTACACCGTAATCCAGAAGTTTGGGATGATCCTGATACGTTTAATCCTGATAGATTTCTTTCTGAAAATAACGCTGTAAGAAATCCCTATGCTTATGTTCCTTTCTCAGCAGGACCTAGAAACTGTATTGGTAAGTAGCGCTGTAACTCGAGCCGAAGGCGAGATTATGTAGATCAGATAAAGATCGGATGCAAATGTTTTAACGTGCTTAAGAAACTACCCATCTTCTGAGTTCATTGGCGAAGTAATTTTAAAATTAATAAACATTGTCTTAGCCGATAAAGTGAAAGCTGAAGTTTATGTAAATCAGGACAAATCATTAATCTTTATCCGATTTACGAACATTATAATTAAACATTCATTTCTTTTGTATTTTCCTCATGAATTATTAATGATTTTTTATGTAGTATTTAAAACACGAGCAGCAGTGCTTTATCAGATATAAATGGCTTGAAAAACTACGCATCTAAAGAGTTTATTGGCGCAGTAATTTTTAAAATAAACGTTGTCTAAGCCGAGGGAATCAAAGCTAAAGTAATATGTAAATTAACATGATTTTTATCACATATAAAACCATCGATACGGCAGGGATTTCTTTTGTTATATCTCATGAATTATTTAAGAAGTTTCAAGGGCTAATATTTTACTTTTACTGTGCGGAATGCTTTTGTTGCTTATTAAGTTAGCCCATTATGGTTATTTAAGCAACCGGTGTCTTGCAATTATCTTTCTGTTGAGTGTGATAAAACTGTAAAAAAATGTAAATTTATAGACACAAATAAATGTTGTTGTTTGTATGAGACCTGCGGCCAGTGCTGGTCGTTTTCAGAATTTGTTTCAGAATTTTTAGAGTCTTTTTATTTTAGGACAAAGATTTGCAATGATGGAAGAAAAAATTGTATTAGCATCAATATTACGCCATTTCAATATCAAGTCTACCCAAGAGACTGAAGATATCAAGATAACTCCTGAAATTATTCTAAAGCCCACCAATGGTATTATGGTAGAGCTGGAAACAAGAATTTTTTAGATATGTTTCCGCTCAATATTCAGATCAAAGTAAATGAACGCCTTCCGTCCTTTCGGTCTGGTATATCTAGCAGGAGTTATACTGTAGATCGTTTTCATAATGACGTCAGACGCCGATAAGCACCACGATGTCCAAGCAGTGGACAATTTGTAGTGACAGTTCGCAATGCAAATATACCGCTACATGCATGAAATCTATTGGCTTCACAGGGACCATTTGCGCTACGAATTGTTGTAAAAAATTGTCCCTTGGGACATCGCTTTAAGTGTTTATCCCATAGATATCTTATATACGCTAGATAGCGCATCTCTTTTAGTAAAATTGAAGCCAAGAATATTCCAGCGGTTACCCCCATTTGAATAGATGGCGGCCATGTTGGTAGTTCCCACTCGCTAATAAACGCTTAAAAAACATCAATAACTTTCATCATATGAATAGTTTAAAAATGTATTTGGAATAGGTTTAACTTAATGTTCAAGTTCCCTGTTTAAGAAATAGAAAACATACCAATCTTCTCATTTCATGGGAATATCCAGAGTCTGCAATCACGGCTTCAATTTTTGAATTGCAGAATAATTAGATGCACTATCTAGTGTATATAAGATATCTATGGATTATCCGCGTTTCTTGTCATTTATGAGAAAGGTCTAAGAGGAGTTTGGTGGAGAAGTTTAGTGTGAAGTAAAATATTTATTTTTTTATAGACCTGAAACGAGGGTTATTCCCCTGAGAGATGTGATATCTTGAGGGCGAAATCCAAGGGATATTTCATAACTCATGGTACATTTTATCACTTATAGATCCTTCGCTCGGGGAATTTCGTCAAATATTACCCAAAGTGATGTATAGTCATCACTGAGGGTAGCCGGTATTTCGCTGCAAGTGCATGGATGGTCTATAAATGATATTATACTGAAAGTTAAAGAAACCCACCTGGCTAGTTGAGAATAAACTGGTTGAATAACTGTACCGAATAAAATGTTTAATTTTTTATTTATACCTGCCTTTTTTGACGTTTCCCACTGGTCCCCAATCGCTGCTAATCTTGTTGTTACGGGGCGGCCTGAAGGCCGAGACACATCGGACGCGATTCGACAACGCGCCGCGATTTTTTAGTTTTTGAAGGTTAATAAAACAGCCAATGTAGTTTTAAAAGATATGTAGACCAAATAACTCAGAATGTTATAGCGTTTCTAAATATTTGAAAAGCTTAAACCAGGATCAAAGTTATCGGTCAGTGAAAGGCTTGTCGAATCGCGTCTGATCCGGTATGTCTTGGCCTTTAAGTCTTCTTCATTTTGAGTCCGATCGTCAAGAAATTCGACACGATGATTTTGAACGATATCACACGATATTTTAGTGACCTTACTGAACCACTCCGGAAATTGACAGTTAAGAATGCTCATTTCCGGTGGACAAATGATGAGGAGTGTGCATTTAACAATGTAAAACGTGCTCTTACCAGTGACAAAGTTATGGCATATTTTGATCAGAATAAACACACTGAACTCACGACTGATGCATCACCTTGGGGTTTATCAGCGATATTATCACAGCGTATGCCAGGCACAAATGATCAAAAAGTTGCACAGGGAGCCCATCCCGGGTCTTATTGAAGTTATGTATTAGAATTACGTATGAAATATATAGCTCAGTGTTGAAGCCTGCGACTTGCGGGCTGTGTGCGGGCTAAGCATGTGTTGAATGCTTAATAAAGGAAAAAATATTTTTAAGATTATTTTCTTTATTGTGTATTCAAAGCGCACGTTAGCCCGCACACAGCCCGCAAGTCGCAGGCTTCAACACTGAGCTATATATTTCATACGTAATTCTAATACATAACTTCAATAAGACCCGGGATGGGCTCCCTGTGAAAGTTGTTGCGTATATAAGTAGATCTTTGTCGGAAGTTGAAAGGCGATACTCACAAACTGAACGTGAAGCGTTGACAATAGTGTGGGCAATGGAGCGATTACATCTTTACTTGCATGGAGCAAAATTTACATAAAATGCGGATTGTAAGCCTATCGAGATGATTTTGAGTAACCCCAAGTCAAAACCACCAGCACGAATTGAAAGATGGAATCTCAGAATTCAAGATTTTGACTTTAACGTTGTTTATACCAGTGGTGCTAACAATGAATCAGATTTTCTGTCTCGGCATCCGTTAAGCAGAGATGTAGACCATACACAAGAGGATGCCGCTGAGAATTATGTCAATTTCCTTACAACCCATGCCATCCCGAAAGCAATGACATTACAGGAAATAAAGGATGAAACCAAAAAGGACAAAACATTGCAAGGACTTGCTAAAATTATTCGTGAACAATTGTGGGATTCCAAACCCAAATGGCATGAACTCAACACAGACAATGATGATATACGTAAGTATATAAACGTTCGGGACGAATTAACCATTAATGACGAGGCAGATATAGTTTTGCGAGGGTCTCGTATTGTTATACCTCGTTCCCTGCATCACCGAGCCATATCCATCGCGCACGAAGGTCATCAAGGCCTTGTCAGAACAAAACAATTAATACGTGAGAAAATATGGTTTCCAGGCATAGATAAGGCTGTTAGGGATATGATTGGCAGCTGTATTGCATGCCAAGCCAACAGTCACCCGAATCCACCAACACCACTAAAAATGAATGATCTACCTCCTGAACCATGGCACACAATACATTTAGACTTTTGTGGTCCCTTTCCCACCGGAGAGTATGTTCTAGTTGCTATTGATGCATATTCTCGTTTCCCTGAAGTGGAAGTTATTCACTCCACCTCTGCCAAAGCAACAACATTAAAGCTCGAGCGAATATTTTCAACCCATGGACTTCCACAAATCATTAAAAGTGACAATGGCCCCCCGTTCACTAGCACAGAATTTAAAACATATATGCAAGAGAAGGGTATTGAACATCAACGCATAACACCACTGTGGCCGCAGGCAAATTCAGAGGCTGAGAATTTCATGAAGTCCATGACAAAAGCAATTCGAGCAGCGATTACAGAACAGAAGAATTGGAAGAAGGAACTCTATAGTTTCTTGTTAAATTATCGGGCAACGCCACATAGTACAACCAAGTTCTCTCCTGCAGAACTTTTATTTAATCGTAAAATTAAAATGGAACTGCCAAACCCAGTGCATCAGATGCAGGACACTGTAAAAGACCAGCAAGTCCGAGAGAATGACGTCAAAGCTAAGGAACGAATGAAAGCAAATGCAGATCGAGTGAAAAATGCGAAAGAGTCAAAAATGTTTATTGGTGATACTGTACTGGTACGTCAAAGAAAACACAACAAATTCTCCCCACGGTATGATCCCAAACCATATCGGATCACTAAAATTAATGGCACCATGGTAACCGCTTCACACCCAGGACATTCCATCACCCGGAATATTTCCTTTTACAAAAAGATTCAACCACAACCTGGTAAGGAAGAGTGGCAAGACAGTGATAACATGGGAGGTGACTTAAGTGATGATGTAGCTGATGAAATCAACGAAGACGGTGAAAATGAAGTACAAGGGAGGAGATATCCACAGAGAGACAGGCAACCAACCAACCCAAAGATACGATCAGAATAAGATAAGATAAGATGATGTTTAATAGCACAATTTCGCACATAAAGTGAAGTACAAAGTGCTTACATTAAAATACTATAATAATATAAGATTATTTACAATGGTTGTTAGGACAAAGTTAACATCAAGTCTCACCAGTCACTGTTTACAATTAGCAATATTAATTGTATTTGGGAAAAAGCTATTTTTAAACCGATCAGTTCGACATTTATAAGTTAATAAATTATTTAATGATCTATATAATAATATAATTATGCTCGTTCGATACTAGATCTCGTTCGATCTAGTATCGATACTAGATCTCGTTCGATACTAGATCTCGTTCGACCTAGTATCGAATATTTATGAATAGATAATTAGGATTCATAGGATCATAAGTTAGTATTATCAAGACAAACATATTGGTATGCACTTGTATAGTATAGTATAGTATAGTATACATTAGTTTATTTGTTTTTTTTTTGTTTTTTGATATGAGTAAGGGAGGGATGTAGCATTGGTCATGTGACAAGTCACATGGGTTATGTGACAGGACGGATTGATATTGATGACATTGTAGTTTTGTACGGGATATAGAATAAAGTGTATACACGAGAACATTACACCGACGTACAAGCAATTGTTGTCTACACGCGTATATAATAATAATATGCATAATTATCATTTATATTCACAAAACTTCAACCATAACAAAGACAGTCATGGACACTGTAGTGACTAATCGTTAAATTTTTATTTGATTCTCAATAATAATTATTAACAATTTATTCAAAATTTAATGATTAGTCGCTGTTCCTTGACTGTCTTTGTTATGGTTGGGGTTTGTCTGCTAATGACGTGGTATTTGGCCTGTGTTATACGTCGAATTTCGGTCGCGTCGAATGCAATTCAAAGAATAGATAATGAAGCTTAATGAGGTTTATCATCTCATTATCCATTGTCTTAATTGCACTCGACGCGACCAAAATTCGTAATCGTTCCATGTTTCGCGCACCAATATAGTAAGGCCAAAAAAAAAATATGTGGGTTTCCGGTTTCTTCTTATAAAAACTTAGGTAGGGTAGGTCGGTTTTAACTTTTTTTTTTAATTTTTTTTTTTAATTTTCCGAATAAGCGGACGCCATTTTGTTTAGTCAGTGCTTCCACATCCAAAGATAAATTTCCCTAATATTTCCTCAAATTTCAATTTTCCACAAACTTTTTCCTCTAAGTGGAAACACTTACAAGCATGATCCAATAAAAAAGTTTAGGGTCGGGATTTCGACGTCCAAAAGCTAGGTGGCAGGAAACCGGAAACCCACATATTTTTTTTGGCCTAAGCGTTATGTAATGGATAGATGGATATTATGATGTACTGCAAAGTCAACTAGATACCTTCATATTATTATTATTATTATTATTATAAATTTCCAAACTAGCAGTAACAACTGAATTACTTTGGAATTACAGGGTATAAGAACATAGGTATTTAATCTATTCTATGTTTACAGGTAAAAATAGGTAAGTTAGATAAAAATAACGATAATAATCTAAAGTTTACTTATTATTATAAGCACGAGACGCAGCAGGAATGAAACTGTTCGAAAAACGTTCAGTTCTACACCTAGGTACTAATAAGCTGGGATAAGACCTCAGATTA